TTGTTTGCCCCCAAGTCAACTCCAAAAAGTCACGTGATTGATAGTAAGCAATTCACAATCGAACACACTACAATTTTTCATTTTTTCCATGTGCTTTCTCACATGATTACAACACACTAGTACTCTACTAGTTATCACCACTGATTACAACACAGGTAACCCATCTATATAAAATCAATAACAAACCACAGGTAATCCACCTATGTAGATTTGCGCTWYAACATATACTATTGTCTTTAGGATCCAGAATACATTTCAGTTCATGAGAATTCAAAAACCAGTACACCATCAAGGCTCACGCAGGTACCTTTATGATTATTTGATTTACTCAATTCCTCGCACTCATTTACCTATGACCATCAACCTGCCCACCCGTTCACTTACTCACACACCACTAAAGCTGGGTACCTCCATTTCTTGAAGCACAGGAACCCCACAGTCCTAAAAAAATTATTTGTATTCTATATCATAAACGTCGTACCAATGTTTGATGATTATTTACTTGTGGTTTGACAGAGTAATTCTCTTTATATCTTTGCAGAACTATGTCGTTTGTGAATTACCCGACAAAATAAATTTTCTGTACTCCTTTATTCGTAATCATCTGAAGTCCAAGATCTTGGTGTTTTTATCRAGCTGTAAACAGGTAGAGTTCAATTTTTGCCTAATTCTTTGAAACTTCAAATTTTTATCGATATCCTGAAACAGCCTCTAGACTGATCAGAGTCAGGGCACAGCTAACTCACAGATAAAATTGGAAATTTCATTTATTTAATTTAATTTTGTTTCATTTTGTTTCCTTTTGTTTTACTTTTAAGTAAAATATACCAACACATGTAGTACATATTTGGAAAGACCTACCATAGAACAAGGCTCCAATAATGGGGTCCCAATTATTTTGTGTGTCAAGTTCAGATAATAGTACATTGTATATTCAAGATACTGTATCTGTCATGCAACGATTTTCTTCCCACAAGATATTGCATAGTGGCAACTCTAAGAAGGTCTGCTTAGAAGGCTGGAGTTTGAGATTACAAGACCTAAATGTAAATAATGGTTATGATATGCATCCCCATAGTTACCATTGTTACATCCAATGAGCTTAAAACTTTAGCTTTACTTTACTTTACTTTTTTTACCTTGGCTTAGAGGGCCACAGGGTCATCAGTTTAATTTCTAAACTGTTAAGTGCTACCCTCTTAAAATAAAGTCTATTGTATTGTATCGTATTGTATTGTAGAAAATTTTGGATTTTTTTTTTTTTTACAAATTCTGATTATAAAAAAATTTATATATAGAACTGATATCTTTTTTAGGTGAAGTATATCTATGAGAGTTTTCGTCGTCTTCGTCCTGGAATCCCWTTAATGGCTCTTTATGGCAAGCAGAAGCAGCTCAAGAGAGTTGGAATATATGATGAATTCTGTAAAAAGACTCACTGTGTTCTGTTTGCTACTGATATTGCAGCAAGAGGACTAGGTATGGACTATAATAATCAGTAAATTCATAAATGCACAAATGTYCTTGGGGACCTGTTATTATTTAGAGGGGGGAGGAGGCTGACCAGTCCAAAATTAGGTATGCCATATTTCCTTTTTTTTGACACCCATTTTGATGATGTACATTTTTTCCATATTTTTCACTTTAAACTGTACATTTTYCTTAGTTTTCACACACTTAGCTTTAATAATAAATGTTTTTCATATTTTTGGTACTCCTTTTCCAGATTTTCCTGCTGTCAATTGGGTTGTCCAATTAGATTGTCCTGAAGATGCAAACACATACATACACAGAGCTGGAAGAACAGCAAGGTATTTACTCCTCAGACCCTCTGCTGAACCTCCCCACCCCTTGGAAATTCCAATCCCTCTCTGTGGGGRAGGTATGGATATTTTCTGGAACTACACAATATACCCCCTCAGACCCTCCCCACCCCTTGGCAATTCCAATCACCCACCATGGGGAGGTATGGATACACTTTTGCTCAAGAAAAGAAAAGAAAAGAAAAACATCAGTCTTGTTTTCTTGATTTTATGTTTAGATATCAGAAAGATGGACAGTCTCTACTTGTGCTTTTGCCTTCAGAAGAACCAGAAATGTTAAAGGTATTTTGTTTCACTGTTCAATTCATCGTTCTGACTCAGACAACAGCRAACCAGTCACTATCACAGCAGTTTTCCCAGTGGAATTAAAATATTGTCTCACAAACAACTAAACAGTATCTTTTTTGAAGAGTACTACAAATATTATGGGCTGATATTATTTTATTTTCACAGGACAGTAAACTATTGAAACAATTTATAATTATCAATTTTCTAGGATCAGAGTTTTAAGTTCTAAGATATTCTGGCATATTTGTTCAAAATGTGGGGCTTGTGGGAAATAGCAACRGAAACTATCAATTAAGGACTAACTAGAAATTTAATTATATTCCAGGCTCTTGAAGAAAAGAAGGTTCCAATAAACAAGATAAGGTAGTTACGATGCACTTATTGATATTAGTCTATGCTTATTGCGGGCCCGTCACTAGGGGTGGTTCGATGGCTCAAACAAACCCATCCCCCTCCACCTTTGTAGGAGTACAAAATATTGTTTAGCGCTATTATCGTATTTCAAGAAATGGCATAACTAGGATTGGTTAGAAAAGTTATTTGAAAGATAAAGAAAAAAAATAACTAAGATTGGTAGAAAAACGAACCTCCTCTTTCAAGGTCCAAGTGACGGGCCTTTATTGTCCACTATAGGCCTTTTGCAACAACAAATCACATGACCCTACCCCCCGTAAAAAGAGACGTGAAACRTGACCTGTTGTTGCAAAAGGCCTATTACTGAGATATAAATGGTGGTTTAAGCCAGAGAATTTTGCTCCATTACCGAAGCATTCTCTGATTGTGGCTTAACAAATTAACATGCTGTCTTAGGGTCGATTGCGAGGTAGCCAACTGATATTTCAAATCTTAAGCTATTTTCCCACGTATATCCCAGAACGATAGCAACTAAAATAATAAGTTTTTCTTCCACATATCTAAGAGTCCATATCTAGACTTTTCCGCCTTTTGACATCTTGTTTACAATGTGTTGAAAAAGTTAATCAGTGTTGAGCTCTGTTAGTGCTGTTTGTGATCATTCTTTCTTTCTCTTACCACCTAACGACTTTTCTTGTAGAGTTAATCCGAAGAAGTTAACAAGTATTAAAGCAAAACTGGATGCATTCTGCGCACAGGACCAAGAACTGAAGCACTGGGCACAAAAGGTTTGTATAATACTAGGATATTGAGCGACAGAGGTTGGGATATGCTTGAATACTGGACGAGATATGATAAGGCTTGTGATTGGATACAGGATGAGCTTAGATACGAGATGTGGTTGGATACTGGCAAGGGCAGATCCAGCCAAAATTTTAGGGGGGGCTAATTGTGTTTTTTTTKGGGGGAGGGGGCGAACTGAGTTTCTTCCATCAACACAACGGAAAGCATTAAAAAAAGCATCTAATTCTTTTTTAAAAGTTTTTTATTGCTGAAGGGGGGCTTCAGCCCCTCTTTGCACTCCACCCCCCCTGGATCCGCCCTTGACTGGATGTGGTTTTCTTCTTTTAGACTGTCGTGTCTTATGTACGCTCAGTATTCCTTCAGTCCAACAAGAAGATTTTTGATGCACACAAGTTACCTGTTGATGAGTTTGCTTTGTAAGTATTTTTCTCTTTTTCAAAGTTCCTGCAAACAATACATATTTTGTTATTTTGACGTGGACCCAATTAAATTTATAATTATACAGCTTCTCATTAATCCCATATAGGTAACTGTCCAATTATTTTCTTAATTAGACAGGTCTTGTTGATATGGGATTAATTAGGCAGCTATATAATTAATAGGTAATGGGATTTCATGCTCCCCAATCAAGAAATAATTAAACTCGAAAAATTCCTCTGACTGCCAAATTGGACTCAGCCTACGGCCTCATCCAATTTTGTCAGTCCTCAGAATTTTCCTCTTCCAATTATTTCGTAATTGGACAGCATGGAGTCCTATTACATATACTAATCATTAATACCTATTGTAGTAATTTTTCGATTGACCAAAAAGGAAACCCCAAACATTTAGAGCATGATTATGATGCGGGACCATTAATAGTTCTGTTTTGGACCTTTATCACGTGGCAGACATGTTGAATTGAACAATAGATCTCCTTGAGTACAATTCAGAATTTATAGATACGAGTGATGCTTTGAAAGTTTTCAAAATTAGACGAGCCTTCACAAGTGTCTATAAATTCCAAATCAAATTGTACGAGAAGATTGTGCTATTTTTTGTTTATTATACACTCAACAAAATTGAGAAACTTAACTGGGACTCTACAGAGTACAGTTTGGGATTTAATTGTACTCCTCTTGTCCAATCAGAATCGAGTAATTTTGTTGATTGTATTATAATAGAAAAAAATGTATTTGATTATTTCTGTGTAGGTCGTTGGGTCTGCCGAACACACCAAGAATAAGGTTCATGAAGGTTAGTAATACAATATAACAAAGTCATTGTTTTCCCATTTTAGATCACATTTCGTTCTCTTAAGTATTATTCCTTTGTTTATTAGCAATGGTTTGGAAAATACAAAAGTGCAAACACTATACTTGTTTCGCTTGTTGAAATTTATCCCTAAAAGGGCCTCATTATGGCGTCATTAACTACAACTACCAGAATCCCTTGTACACTTTCTTTTGTTCAGTTAGTTAACACAAGTGTCCTATAGTCCAGTCGTGGACTCCCTTTCGATCCGCTCTCTTTCCTCCGCGACCTCAGCCTGTAGGAGCGGATCGAAACGGGCTTCGTAACTGGACTAAAGTGTCCTACTACAATATAAATTTGAATAAAAAAGGAAATTCGAAAGGAAAATATGACGCCATCATGCAAATCTCTTATTCTGGATTTCCTTGCTTTGTTTAGAAAGCAGAAAAGAAATTCGGAACCCAATCCACCACAAGCAGTACAGAACATGACAGACTCCCTTTCTCAAGCGTCGACATTGGTGATAGCGATAGCGACAGTAACGACGACGAGGAGTCTGAAGAAGATCGTGATGTTAATGATAACGCAGACGGAATTAAAGCTAGTTTTAGTGGTATTGATGATACTACTGACCAGGATGATCAAGTTATCACCTTAAAGAGACGGAATGTTGATGTAGTACCCATGCCCCTGGAGCCCGAGGAAGGACAGGTAACTATAATATGAACGATTTTTTACTAAAAAATTATTTATTTTWAAAAAATGTCTAAATATTTTAAATTTTCATTACAAAAATAGAATAATGAATTTGCGCCATCAAAATATTTGGAAGTTCATTGCTCATRTGATTTTAATAAATGGTTGGGTTTCCTGTGGTATTTAATCTGTGGTAAATTTTGTTTCATCTTCAGAAGCCAAAGAGCTCAAAGAAAGAAAAACCACTTGTCTCAAAGATAAAACAGGTCAAGAAACTAGTCAACAAGAAAATAAAGATGAATACGAAAATATTGTTCGACGAGGAAGGCGAGGTGAGTGATTTCATGTAACCTAATCACGTGATAGTCGGGAATCAAAAAGAAAAATTATGACTGCTTGTAAAATCCTCGGCATGGTCGCAGAGAAGACCACCGCTTAGCAAGTCACAATTCAAATTGACATGACGCAAGAAATTGTTTTGATGAAGATGCCCTCTGCCAAAATGGCGGTTGTCACGTGACCGCTCGAAAACATTTCGTGAGTATACTTGCAACATAAATAGCTAAGAAACGTTTATATCTTTTTAAGGTTGTGTACAGCAATGACCCAGCACCAAAAGAGAACGAATCTGAAGAAGAAGAGGATATTGAACCAGTCCCTCTCGGTCAAGAGGATGGTCGGGTTGTTGGCGGGATTTCTGTCGAGGAGTCCCGCAGACTACTACAGATCACGGACAAAAAAGATCGGGAGAGGGAAAAGAAAAGAATACGTGAAGAGCACAAGAAAAAGAAGAAGAAACAAAAGGCAAACCAGGAAGATGAAGAAATGGTGTGTTTTTTGTTTTCGTAAATTTCCCTTGCGTTTGAATTCAAAATTGTTTTTCAGAAACTTTTTGCTGCCAAACTATTCTACTCAACATGAATTTCCTCTTCTTTTCGTCTTTTGATTGATTAATTTAATTACATGATTGTTTCCAGGACAACGAGATCAGATTAGCCGTAGCTTACGAAGAAGACAGTAAAGAGGAAGATAATCAAGAACCAAGGTATCTACCTTTATTTCTTATGCATTGGGCTTCCTGTGTTTTTGGCCTTTGGGCTCACATCTCGACTTCATTTCAACAGATCAAAGAAACGAAGAAAGAAACATAGAAGCGAATCAAGTGAGGATGAAGATGAGGGATTGAATGACAGGGCGGCAATTATGGAAGACGAAGAGCTGGCTCTTCATTTATTGAGCGAAGGAAGGTCATAACATAGGAGAATTCTTATGGGACACCTGTGTTTTTTCTCATTATCTTTTCCAGAGCCTGCCCTATTGCCAGCCAGCGGAAGGCAACGCGTGTTTTCTTTCGCTGGCTGGCAATAGCGCAGGCTCTGGGAACGAAGATGGATTATCGTCTCAGGCACTCCCGTTTAGGGAATCGATTTCTTATTATAGCCTGCCAGTGATATTCTTTATCACAAGTTTTGAATGGACAGATCAGTCTCTTTCCACCCCAACCGACACAGGGTTACCGAAAGAAGTGCATCAAATATTCTGAAAAAAAGCTGTCAGATGAAGAGCAGCCTTTTGTTGGGAATTTAATTTTTTTAAACGTGAAAAAAATTCTTAGCAAGTATTTTTTCAATCACTTAACATCGCCTGTTCAAGCATTCTAAACAAGGCAAACTCGTGCCCAGAACTTGGACCTCTAACATTGAATATCATCAGGACCATTTTTTGCATCATTTCTTCTCTAGTGGGGAATGTTCATCAGTTTAATCACAAGTTTTCAATAGAATTCTTTCTGGTTGACAGCACATGGTGGTCAGTGTTTGACCACCATTTGGAGCAGATAATGAGATTCAAAGACTTTTTTGTCCTTAACAGGTGGCTTGAATAGACCAATTCGGCTAACGCATTGTTCTACCCAATTCAAATCTACTGGGAATACTTTTCTTTTTACATTATATTTACATGCCAATGAAGCACTGATATCGATATGGTATGTTAATAGAATAGACAAAGAAAAGTGTAACAAGAATATATTAAAATTGGGTAAAACATTGCGTTAGCCGAATTGGTCTATTCAAGCCACCTGTTAAGGACAACAATGACAGAGCAGAAAAACGACAAGGCTGCATGCTAAAAAACGTTAAGTGTTTCATTCGTGTCTCTTGTGCTTTAAACTTTTCACAAAATTCTGCTAACCTCCAGCAATTCTACTTCGAGGTATTAGCGAAAATGTTAGTTTTTGTGCTGATCAAAATATCATCTCTCCCAATGTTCAGGACGTTATATCTCAAAGAATACGCATTCCTTAAATTTCCACCAAATTTTGGCATTTTGGTAATCAGCCCTAAAAGAGCCTGTTTATGAAATATAAAGCTTATCAACGCATACACGTCGAAAGTAGAACCCGTTTTTCTGCCCTGTCGACAACAATAAGATACAAGCATATCAATCAAACTATACCAACATTTATTCTTTAACGTGTCGAACTCACAGTGGCTGTTGTGAAAACATTTAGCTCCCAAAAACTTCTGGAATATTTATTTAAAACAAAAAATATATGTTTTAGGCAAAGTAGATATTTACCTCAGAAATGAAATCTGAAAAATAAATTCATGGACAACGTAAAAAATCAACCGGAAAATTTGATTAAAACTATGCGTGTTATTTATCCAATTACCATGTTTTACTAACGTCTGGCCTTTAGATTACTGTTTTGATCATTTCCTCCTATTGAGTTTATAACTGATTGAATTTTTCTCAGAAAGTTTTAGCTAACGGACACTTTTTGATTCATATGTTTCTTCAGAAAACCGTTTTGATTAGCTATGTAGTTTTCTTATTCTCATAACATTCAATGAAAATTATTTAGCAGTTAGAATATTAGTTTATTGAATGACTGTAAAGTCGTCACAAATTCGTATAATATAAATAATAATAATAATATATATCTTATTAAAGAAAATGTTCTAATAATTCCCGAAAGGTGCCTCCTAAAAGAGTATTCTACCCCGCCTTTATCAGTCGATTTAGGGAGCCATAAGTAGTGTGTTCTGCTTCATGCGCCGCCTTAACGCTGTAGTTGAGTCGTGCGTTCGTTCCTCGAAAACCCTTCATGTGAATTGAGTTCCTCGGCGTTTGTTCTCTCCTAAGCTTCGAAGGTTTTTCTCCCGGTTTTCCGGTTTTCCTCCCTCCGAAAAAAAAAATCGACTTCTAACTTCAAAATCTTTTGTCTTTCAGTAAGCCTCAGAGTAAGACTGGAGCTTCGCCCTATGGCGATTCATTAACGTTATTATAAAACGCGAAAAGATGATTTATTTTATTTCTAAACCATCTTTAAGGTTAGAGATTTTTCTTGGATAAAGTCCGAATACAAAATTACCTCATACTGACATTTTAAAGTTGAATTCATTTACATGGATATTTTCTATTTGATAAATAGGAAGATTTTTTGAACGACGCTAAATWCATTCATGCATTTGTTTACGAGACCTGGAATGCAATATTTACTTTAAAAATTTTTTTTAAACAACCAAACGGATTGGATTTGAATATGAAAACATCCGTTGCTGACAGCGGCGGAAAGTTCGTCGTATATCGCTGATAAGAAGCAAAATCTAGAAAATATATATTCTTTGATTTAAGAAACAGGTTGTTACTAATCAAATGGTTGGTGTTTTAATGGAAGGAACAAAGGTACGTAAAGGTAAAGAATCCATTTCGATAATGTTCTCACATAGCACATAGTTAATAAAACTATTTCGCTGATTGAAGATCGTTCAAAAGTTTCTAGAAAGCTCGGAGTATAAAATTAAACGAGTACGGTAAAGATAGGTTTTCAGTACAATTCTGGATGTTTGTTCAACCAAGTCTATGAAATCTTATCTCATTCGAGAGGAATTCTCAGCCTTGGTACCATACCCCACCTGTTGGATCGCTATATATGGTATTCTGGTATAGTTTATGGTTGATGGTCCATGAAAACCATTACCTCATTCGTCACGCCTTCCTTCTGACTTTCAATCAACATGGAATCTTGTGTTTCGTTTGAACAGCGCTATGCGAACGTTGACCCGGCTTAGAATGGCGTTCAGAGTGTCTAGTAGAAGGAAAACGCTCTCTGCTGCTTTCTTAGGATTAATTGTGCTGAAAAGTTGTTTATTTTTACTGCAGTACTACAACGAAGTTGTTTATAGAGACACTTTGGCTCATAGAAAACCTGTTAGAAGAGAAACTACAGTGGAAAAACCAGTTTTAGGATTCACGAAGCCTGGTCAATCAATGCAGGAATACAATGAGACAGATTTTCCAAAAACTACAAGAAAAAAACTTATCTTATATTGGTCTGGCGTCAGAGGGCATAAAGTTCCCGTTCAAAAGTCAGGAGTCAATCATTCGCATTTTTGGCCTTTTTTCTACGCGGGAAAGAATTGTCCAGTGCCGTGCGAGCTTTCAAACGACCAAGACAGAGCACACGAGGCAAGTGCTTTTGTGGTCCACGCCAGAGAACCTGATATCTGGAACCTTCCACCGTTGGAACATCTCGCTCCTTGGATTCTACAGACAAACGAGAATCCCGTTTACACGCCTTCTCTTTCTGATCCAACTCTCATGTCCAAGTTTAATCTACTGATAAGCTATCGACTGGATTCTGATTTCCCTGCTCCTATTTACCCAATGCCCGAGCTTACACCGCCAGTTCCGTTTGAAAAGAGGCTGGGAGATGTTCTAGCGGTGTTTTCAAAGTGTGAGCCTGTCAGAACTGAATACATGCGGCAGCTTATGAAATACATTGACATTGATTCTTATGGCGCTTGCTTGAGGAATAAAGATGGTTTGATCGGACTTTATGGGAAGGTAAAAAACCGTTATGTTTTTAAGGAGCACAAGTTGATTCTTTCTCGATATTATAAATTTTCTCTGGTTTTTATGAACCAAGATTGTGACTATTTCGTTGATGATCGACTCTACCACGCACTTACTTCCGGTTCGGTACCAGTTTACATGGGAACCGACAAAATCGACGAATTTTTGCCGGGAAATTTAAAAGGCGCCGTCATCAAAGCAGGTGACTTCGAGAGCCCAAAACATTTAGCGGAATATCTGAAATTCTTATCTAAGAATGAAACAGCTTATAATAAATACCTAGAGTGGAAATGGAAAGGACTAGGAGATATAAGYGACTCTGTGATTGGTCAGTGGTGGAAGCCTAGGTATCCCTTGTTCTGTCAGGTATGTATGGCGCTGGTCAAGGGAAAGCTTCATCACGGGCTCAAGGTCGACAAGTGTAAACCGAGGACTTACGAGGACTGGAACCTAGAAGACCCAAGTGCTGTATATTTTGACTTTTATACTTTGGGTATTTATGCTGTCTTTGCAGCAATAGCTCTATGGATAATGATCAYATAGCATTTAGGTTGAGTGATACTATGGCAACCGTGGTCAATCCTGTCGCTATAGCAACGATGTGGTTTTCTTATAATAGAGAGTAGTCGTTTATCAACGACTTACTTTAAGGGTAGTTTATCCCATTGAAGTGATCCTCTTCGAGGTTCCGTTTAATCCGAAATGGCTGCTTTCAAACGACCTTTTCTTGAAACTTGCAGCACTGGAACGGAGTCATGTTTCGGGTAAAATAATAGATTAATAGATTAACRAGAGACGCGTTTTGGCGYCAAAATTCCCCCCAAAAATCCACAAGTACCCCAACAAAATAGGAGAAAACTCTCCCCCACCCCCTCCCCCCCCCTTCGCTACGCCCAGGAACTAAACCCCTCGATTCTAATTTTTTAAGGGGAGGGAGGCAGAGCTGTCTCCAAGAAATATCGAATATGTAACGGTAAGCCAAGACAGGGTTCTCTCTTAAAATTGACGTAAGCCTCGTTCAAYTTCATAGGAATATTTCACACCTGTATGTGCAGGTCACATCTCGTGTAAGAAAACATTAATATGTATAATATTTTTGTACAGTTAATTTTTTATCGAAATTGTTAATAATAAAAATACTACCAATTTCTGAACATGTCATTTTGAAATTTAACCTTAAAAGCAATTTCCAATAGACCGTATTCGAGTTCCAAATTACCGCTGTGTTTCTTGATTACAGACTCATTTGCACAGGGTTAACCTCGAGTTTGTGCAGAATATTCACGTGTTCCAGTCAAGGTCCGTCAAGTTTCAAAGTGTTCATATTGTTGAAGTTGTGCTTTCTTTACTTTATCGGTGGTATTTTTGAATATTTAGACACTGATGATACGAGGCTAACCCTGTGTAAATGAGTCTGTAATCAAGGAACACAGCGGTAATTTGGAATTCGAAAATGGTCTATTCAATCCATCCGCTTTTTTACATCCATTTTCTGGTTGATCTATGTTTTTTGGGTGCATGTTACGTCACAGCCGCCTTGTTGGTTSACGATAACAAAGCTCATTAGGGATGAACCATTAGATAACTGATGGGGGGTTGCAGGAATTTATCACGATATTCAGTTTTTTAGAACAACCCCTGCACGTAATTTTTTTGTTTGCTCGATATTTCTTTTCTGAAAAGGAGGTTGTGCGATATTTKTTTCGGGGTTGAAGTCCTTGCTCGACACTCTCCATTTGGACTATGCAATTATCGTTTCTTTTTCTCTTTTTTCCCTAGTTGTACATAAATTCCAATATTTTTTGTTAATTATGTTTTGTTTTCAATAAGTCTTAATTCCAAAGCCGTATGACGTCTTTTCCCACGCTAAAGTTATTTATCTCACACTGTTTACCGACTCCTTTTGTTCCAATGCAAATTTTTATATCCTGTGTTTCATTGGAATCAATTATTCAGTGTCATTTGTCAAGTTGTTTGCTAGCAACCAAGATGGCGGCCACACGTTTGGCTGATCTTGTAAATCTGTCTTCGCCGCTTTAAATGCTTATCAGATATATATAAAAGCACTGAACAAGAACCTGGAACTAAAGAATGCATCGTATAAAGGAATAAACGGTAAGCTAAGCCATGAATATCGGTTTTTTTCATCGTCTATTAAAAGCAGGTTAAAAACGTTAAGAAACTGTCTTACTTTATAATATGCTATTTTAGAGCTAAAACGTGATCTGAATAATCTATAAGATAACTGTATTTCACAAAACTGGATTCTAATTGTCATTTTTAACTACGCGAAGCAATTTTTTTTGGCAACTTTGCATTAAGTTTATAAATTTACGATAATCTTTTCAGCTTGGAACAGAATCAGCGGCTCCTCTTTCAGAATGATTGACTGAATAGAGCTAGAAAACTCTCCAGTTTACTTAGATTCTAGCATAATTTCCAAGAATATTTGAGTTTAGAAACAATAATAAATAGTAGTTTGTAAGTGTAGACATATAAATCATTTGTTAAATTAAAAATATTTGTAAACTTCCTAACATGCAACCCGTTGAGCAGTGGAGTGACTTGAAAATAAACTCGATCGCGGAGGACTTCAATCCTGATACGAAAGATTTTTTACTCGAAAACGGACAAAGTAGAAGATTAAACTCGAAAAATTATTCACAATTAAAAATGTTCGTAAGATAATTCCAAACATAACGGTGGTATTTGTACATAAAGTAATTAAGTTTTATTGGTAAATGTTTTTAAAAAATTTTTAATGTAAAATCATTATCACTTGTAAGCTTAAATTGTTTATCGAACTCGCAAAATAATGCAAAATAATGTTGTTTTTCTTGGCAAAATAATCTTTAAATATTGTTACTCGGGTTTTTGTTGCTCACAAAGAATTCAAAACATTCCCGAGGGCTTTTAGTTCTGCATGTTGGCTCTATCAGTTGAAGCAGCTGATTTGCATTACGTGAAGATGATCATCAATATTACTGAAAAACTACGAAGTCTTACATCTGTAAAGAATGAAAACTTTTAAGAGTGTTACAAAAGTGGAAAAGGCTCCAGTACAGGATTAGNTCCCACGCTAAAGTTATTTATCTCACACTGTTTACCGACTCCTTTTGTTCCAATGCAAATTTTTATCCTGTGTTTCATTGGAATCAATTATTCAGTGTCATTTGTCAAGTTGTTTGCTAGCAACCAAGATGGCGGCCACACGTTTGGCTGACCTTGTAAAGCTGTCTTCACCGCTTTAAATGCTTATCAGATATATATAAAAGCAACAAGAACCTGGAACTGAAGAATGCATTGTATAAAGGAATAACGGTAAGCTAAGCCATGAATGTCGGGTTTTTTCATCGTCTATTAAAAGCAGGTTAAAAACGTTAAGAAACTGTCTTACTTTATAATATGCTATTTTAGAGCTAAAACGTGATTTGAATAATCTATAAGATAACTGTATTTCACAAAACTGGATTCTAATTGTCATTTTTAACTACGCGAAGCAATGTTTTTTGGCAACTTTGAATTGAGTTTATAAATTTGCGATAATCTTTTCAGCTTGGAACAGAATCAGAGGCTCCTCTTTCAGAATGATTGACTGAAGAGAGCTAGAAAACTCTCCAGCTTACTTAGATTCTAGCATAATTTCCAAGAATATTAGAGTTTTGAAACAATAGTAAATAGTAATTTGTAAGCGTAGACATATAAATCATTTGTAACATTAAAAATATTTGTAAACTTTCTAACATGCAACCCGTTGAGTGGAGTGACTTGAATAAACTCGATCGCGACTTCAATCCCGATACAAAATATTTTTTACTCGAAAACGGATTGTACAAAAATGACAACGTAGAATATTAAACTCGAAAAAATATCCACAAAAATGTTCGTGAAATAATTCCAAACATAACGGTGGTATTTGTACATAAAGTAATTAAGTTTTATTGGTAAATGTTTTTAAAAAATTTTTAATGTAAAATCATTATCACTTGTAAGCTTAAATTGTTTATCGAACTCGCAAAATAATGTTGTTGTTGTTTTTCTTGGCAAAATAATCTTTAAATATTGTTACTCGGGTTTTTGTTGCTCACAAAGAATTCAAAACATTCCCGAGGGCTTTTAGTTCTGCATGTTGGCTCTATCAGTTGAAGCAGCTGATTTGCATTACGTGAAGATGATCATCAATATTACTGAAAAACTACGAATTACATCTGTAAATAATAAAAACTTTTAAGAGTGTTACAAAAGTGGAAAAGGCTCCAGTACAGGATTAGTGATATTAATTCAGTAATTAAAAAGTTTTCCTCTTTCTCGTTTTTTCTTTCTTTTCTTTTTATCTTATTCTCTTTCTCCTTCTTTATTTTGTCATACTTTCTTCCCTTGGTTTATTAATCATTAATAGTATTTAGTTGTTGTTTTACAGTTATTGTTTTTTTTAATGTTTTTATATTCTTTGCATTTTGTACCTTTGGGGTTCCTGTGTAAAACCACAGGACTCCCATGATAGAATTACCTGCAATCAGTAAGTTTGATTATGATTGCGAATTAAAATGAACAAAACCAAGCTGTTATTTTCTATTCTTTTTTCCAAAGTTTTCCAAAACAATCAATATGCGTATATGCGTGAAATCTTCCTCAGATGATGAGGATCAGAGAGAACTGGCCCAGAATAAAGGAGAAGATAATTATGAAGCTTACAGGTTTGTGGACATGAAGGGAGAAAAGAGCGAGGCGTTGCTGGTCAAGGTACGTTGAAGACTACTAAAAACCACAACCACTACTATACCACCACCACCATACCACCACCACTACTATACCACCACCACCACCAACACCACTACCACCATACCACCACCACTACTATACCACTACCACTACTATACCACCATCATACCAGCACCACCATACCACTACCATTACTAAACCACCACCACCATACTACTACCACTACTATACCACCACCACTACTATACCACCACCACCACCATACCAGCACCACCATACCACTACCATTACTAAACCACCACCACCATACTACTACCACTACTACACCACCACCACTACTATACCACCACCACCATACCACCACCACTACTATACCACCACCACCAACACCGTGGCTTCTATTACCATATTTAATACCATGTATTACCACTGTTATATTACGAGACTACCATTACCAACACTACCAACACGTGCACTACCATTACTAATATTACCAATACTAGAACCATCATCAGTTATAATATAAACTTCATCATCGTCATTATCATTGTATTACAATCGTTTTCCAACTTATTCCTAACCCAATCTATTTTTTCCTTTCCATGTTTATCATCAGGAATTCAAGAAAGGTGGCCGAAAGGAACTGAAGCGCTTGCTTCGYGATGAAGGAATATTGAATCCATATCTATACCGTGAGGGGGAAGTCATTACCAAAGAAAGATATTTACGATGGAAAAGCGAAAACGAAGGATCCGAAAGGGTAAATAACTGCATGTCACACTATATACTGTCTTAGTCACGATATTCTGTTCACGCTATAGATGTTCTATGTACTGTTTACTGCGAATTCCTTGCATCGCGACCCCATGCTCTATATTCCTCAATTGAGGTATTGCACCACCACGTGCACAGGCATATAATACTGCTTGGGCTACCTGTGGTTAGATGGCAGAAAAATAAAATCCCTTTGCTCTTGGGAATTGAATTCTTTCTAATGTAAAACGAATGTATTGTTTCTGCCAGCTAACATGGCGGCCGTCACGTGGTGATGCAAAACCTCTATTTTGGGTTTGCTGTTTCCCGTTCTGCCAATCATGTTGGGGGCGGGGCTTATGCAAATTATCGCCACAATGCACGCGTGACGAAGCTGGGTGCAATATGAAATGATGCTTTATAGTAAGGATATATCACGCAAAACAAGGTATTTTCAAATCACACAATCGTGTCCATGTCACGCAATTTTCAGAAGCCACCAAGGTTGTAATTTTTCAATTTTTTCCACAAAGGATGAAAGTAAGGAAAAGGCCATTGATTATCCAGACTGTAAAGCATGCTGGTCCCTACAATCTCGAGGTTCTCTTGGCGAGGCTCCTCTTCACTTATGTTTCTTGAACAACAATCCTCTACACACCAAGATTGCGCATGTTCTCCTTGAAGAATACCCAGCAATGGCTCTGGATAAATACGAAGGCGGAGACTACTTTGGTAAGTAAAATGAGGGCTTAAAAAATCGGCAGACGTTGCAGAAGTTGTCCTTGTAAGTTAGCACTTTGTAGTCGCTACTGATTGGGCAAGAGAATTACAATTAAATCGTTAATTAAAATCTGTAGAGTCCCAATTAAGATATTCTCGTACGATTTGAAATTGATAGATACTCGTAGTGTTTTGGAAGTTCTCAAAAAAAATAAATAATGGATAATGTGATCTACCGAAATCTCTTACTCAGCCAGTTGTACAGTAGTAGTATTTGCAAGTACATAAAGCTAAAACTGCACCTATAAACAAACGACTCAATAATAAAAAAGCGCACGTGACCGGAAGTGACGTCAACGAATGATTCAATATTATATCATAGGCGAGACAAGTCTTCATATCGCGATTGTCAACGGAGACCTAGAGTCTGTCAAACTGCTGGTAAAGTGTGGGTCAGACCTGAAAGCCAGGGCCACTGGAAAGTTTTTTCTTCCTGAAGACTCGAAAACCAAGATAAATCTTGAGACCAACTTTGAAGGTGGGGACATTTGTCTTGTTTCATTCTCGTACCCAGATCTCCTCGGTTCCTTTCCTTGGTACCGAGAAGCCCTGCGTACGATATGCGCAGAAGTTTATATTAGTGCCTCTTGTGCTTCGAATAAGATTGGTGTACAGAGTGTGAGCGACCATGTGACTCAAAATTCCTTGAGATATGAATAACAATGAAACAACCGCCATCTTGGTTGATCTAACAAGAGAAGCTAATGAGGAATGCTTTTTTTTAGCGGCAATGTTGTAACATGCACCTGCTCTATTGTTGGCGTGCATTCCTTCTCATAAAAATAAAATGACTAAAGACGTGGAAGCCATATTTGGTGACATGACAAAAGACACCAAACAAAATATTTTGTCAAAGTCAACCAAAATGGCGTCTATGACATCACATGCACCTTAAGTTTAATACGTATAGCACTGGGCCCAGTTGTACTAAGCGTTGTTAGCGCTGTCCACACCCTTTGTACAACCGGGCCCTGCTATGGATGAGTTTAAACAACTCTAGGTTATGCATATTATGGAGAATACCCAGCAGCATTTGCTGCCTGTTTTGGACATGAGGACATGTATGACGTGCTGGTTCGTGGTGGAGCTGATCCTAATCTACAAGACTCGTTTGGAAACACAGTACTGCACTTATGTGTAATACACGATAAACTGGTAAGATCTCAGTAGTCCCCTTCACAGTTCCCTGTGCAATCTTGAAAGTTAGCCGTGCCTTTGCATCGAAGCGAGACGAACGGTGACCTTGCTATGATAGAGATCTTTTTTAACACCTCGGACAATTATTCACAGGTTCTTATCATTGCTAGTTCGCCGTTCGTCTCGCTGCGATGCAACGGCACGATTAAATTTCAAGATGGCGCAGGGAACCGTGAAGGGGACTATTGTACATGAAACCATGCATCCACCAACTTAGTCGTCCATCCATCCATCCATCCATCCATTCCTCTATCCAAATATCTACCCAAACATCTACCCAACCAACTACCCAACCATCTACCCAACCTTCTACCCAACCATCTACCCAACCATCTATCCAACCATCTACCCAACCATCTATCCAACCATCTACCCAACTATCTACCCAACCATCTATCCAACCATCTACCCAACCTTCTACCCAACCATCTACCCAACCATCTACCCAACCATCTATCCAACCATCTACCCAACCATCTCCTCCCACCTCCCACCTTCCACCTCTATCCTAACCTCCCTCTTTCCCTCTATCCATACCTTTCTCACGCCCTCTCCCAATTTCTCCTTCCATATCTTTTTCCATTCATCTCTCCATCATATATACATCACTGATTATTGTCACACATTAATTACAACCAGGAGATGTACAAACACGCCCTTCACAGGAAACACAAGATCCGTGGTGATCCTAATATCACTAATCACGCAGGTCTAACACCTCTTGCTCTGGCAGCCAAGTTCGGACGAAAGTCAATGTTCCAACCAATGCTGGAGTTCACAGGCCAAGTGAGTAATATATAACTCTCTGTTGGTTTCACTGATTGGGTATCTGTATTTGAATGTGTAAAACAAAATAATAGACCCTTTTCGTTTGGGCGTAACATTTTCTAATAAGCCTATTGCATGCAATAGATTGACACGTGATTGTTACTGGATGGCAAAAACTTTGGACTTGCTTTATTAAAGGTTTTTTTGGGGGGTTACTAATGTCGTATTCAAATCCTTTTAAAAAATACTTTTCTTTCCTTGTAACTGTATGAGATAATTTCGATTTCAAGATACGAAGAATTTTAAAGTTTGCATGCCATCCAGCAAAGCCTTACCCAAGAGACTTTTGGCTGAATTGATTCGTTGTCAAAGTGATATATCAGCACATTACTGTTTGTTGCAAATGGCCTATTGCAGACCGTAGCCTGTAAATCAAGCCTACAACTCGCCTACGACAGACGCGAGCGTGTTGTATAAGATAGTTGTAGGCGAAAATCGTACCGTCTAAACCGGCCTTAACCGGGACCACTTGAAGCACCTTAAACAATCACAGCATAGATTGAAAACAAAGTCTATTTCATTACGTCTTCTTTTTCTTTATCCAGGAATTCTGGTCTTTTGGTTACATAAATTGTTCTGCCTTCCCACTCGAAGGACTGGACTCTATAGATAAAGACGGCCGGTCGAACCAAAACTCCGCTCTGATTACAACATTGCGAGGCGAAAGCAAAGAACACTTGGATTTACTTGATACTGGGATAATGTTTCGGTTGCTAGAAGAAAAGTGGGAAGCTTTTGCTAAGGTAATATATAGAGAGTGTCTTGTACTACAAGCGCGCACATAATGTGCCTGTACTGAACACAAGCAGGGACACCAGTTTCTCCTACTTGTCACGTGATAGTAAAACGCTCGCCTCTCACCACTGAGTTCCGGGGTTCGAATCCCAGTCACCCCATGTAGGCCGAGTTGGTTGGTTCTCTTTCCGACTCCGAGGGTTTTTCCGGTCCTCCGGTTTTTCCTCCCTCGTCTCAAAATCAACCCTAACTAATTCAAACTGGTTAGAGCTGTGCCCCAGGGTCATACATGGACTGTATAGCGGCTGTCTGAGGTGCCTTCACATGCTTTCAGTTCGACCCCGTTGAGCTGCGCTACTGTATTGCGTTGGTGAATAACGATAAAAAAATTATTGATGGGTCGTCTGTGGATTTGGCGGGAACTCAGTTTCGCGCCATAACGCGCGTGCTCATTCCCCCTTCTTCAACTCTGGAATAATATTTATTCTTCAACTCTGGAATGATATATATATTTTTTGATGATATTTAATTTTTTTAAGCGCTCCTTCTACACTCGTATGATGTTCGCGGTTCTCTACCTCATTGCCTTCAGCTTATCTATCTATCTTAGACCAAGGAATTTAAAAATGAAGATCTTACCATACAATTTGGATAAGGTTAGTTTCTTTGAATCAGATTGTTTTTACCTCCTTGTAAAAGCATCACAAATGGACTCACTTGCACGATGCGGCGGCCATTTTGGATCGCAAGGGGCGTCGATTGCTAATTAAGATGGTAGATCAATCACCTTTACCCATAAAAAAACAAAAACACTTAACTCTATATGCTATTTTCCGTCATCTTTGTTTTGTTTAAATTTTGTTTTTCCCCATGACAAGATGGCCATCGTATCGTTATTTCTAATTCTTTTCTACTGATTGACAGCTTCGACTAGCAATGGAAGCGGTAACTGTGGTAGGAGCGATTATCTTCATTGGTTTCGAAATCAAGCATGCTGTCATCACTCAATTAGGTTTTAATGCACATTTTCGATCGCTGGTGAGTCTAAGATAAAATACCGCTGTGTTCTTTGATTGCAGATCAATCAATCAGACCATCCACTTATCGACAGCAGGATGCAAGGGTAGTGTACGCAATGCACCTACCTCCTTTCACTGCTGTGGCCCTGGATCTCCACTTTTCCTTTCTTCCCAAAACATAATATATGAGTTAGTCTTGACTTAGATCAGCCCAGAGGTTGTTTCAGGGTTCTATCTGTGAGTTAGCCATACCCTGACTTAGATCAGTCCAGAGGTTGTTTCAGGGTTCTATCTGTGAGTTAGCCATGCCCTGACTTAGATCAGCCCAGAGGTTGTTTCAGTGTTCAATCTATGAGTTAGCCATACCCTGACTTAGATCAGCCCAGAGGTTGTTTCAGGGTTTGATCTGTGAGTTATCCATGCCCTGACTTAGATCAGCCCAGAGGTTGTTTCAGGGTTTGATCTGTGAGTTAGCCATGCCCTGACTTAAATCAGCCCAGAGATTGTTTCAGGGTTTAATCTGTGAATTAGCCATGCCCTGACTTTGATTAGCTCAGAGGTTGTTTCAGGGTTTAATCTGTGAATTAGCCATGCCCTGACTTTGATTAGCTCAGAGGTTGTTTCAGGGTTCGACTGCGCGCGAGTTCCCTGCCATTCCCCGACCCTGATGAGCCCCAGCTAGAAGTTGTTTTAGGATATCGATAAAATTTGAATTTTTTGTCTTTCAGAGAGACGCGCCAGGCAAGTGTCTGTTCCTGGTCTCCTGTGTCCTCATAGTCATCGCTTGTCCACTGAGGTACCTCGACCAACTGGTCATCGAGACTCATCTTATGGTCATAGCAGCTCCCATGGCCTGGTGCTATTTACTGTTCTTCTGTAGGTGGGTAAATAGTGTGTGCAACCATGTGACTCAAAATCCCTTAAGATATGAATAACAAGAGATGAAACAACCTCAAGAGAAGCTAATGTGGAATACTTTGTTATCCTCAACGACACCAGGGGAAAACGTTTGCGCATGCGTGCTCTTTAGCACGTTTTCTAAGAATTTTGAAGAGTTTGAGTGAGAAAATAAATGTTTGTTTTCTCCAAGTATACAAAAATGTTCGAGAGTATACTTTTGTCAGACCAAGATACTGTATTAACAAACACAATATAAAAGAATTGCCCTCAAGTTTCAAGCATGGACACTAAGTTTTGGCATTTTGTGAAGTCCAATTTATTAGACATATTTGAAAGTCAAGTTTACATATGTTTGGAATAATTTGCATACGGATTCAGAGCAGGCGCAGACGTTTTTCACTCGTGTCATCCTCAACGGCAACATGGCGGCTATGACGCAACATGCACATTCTCTATATATGTTCGGCTGCTGATTGGAATTCCTGTGCTTTTTCAACCGAATTAATATACACACATTGAGAACGCAGATGTCGAGCACGTGACCACCTAATGTTTACCAGTTAAAAGGTTCGATTGTTTTCTTTACCATGGTTGTATATTCCAGGGGGTTTAGCGCAGTTGGTCCATTTGTTGGTATGGTGTATAAGATGTGTGCGGGAGATATGACACGTTTCGTCATCATCTACGTTATATTTCTGGCTGGACTTGTACAAGGTAAATCAGGGTATTATTTATCATTCATCATTCATCATTCATCATTCATCATTCATCATTCATCATCCATCATC